CATAGTAGAAATGGAGAATCCCTTTCTTTTGAAGAAAGTAAAAATTAAAAAAAATACAACCAAACAACAACAAAAAACTACAAAAACAAAAATAGGGAAAAATTAGTAAATAAAAATAAAAAAGAACAACAAAAATATACATATAGCAATATATTCTCTGGACACCAGGTGGAAGTATTGTGTTAGGAGATGGAGAATACACATGCTGGTTTTGCTGTAATCTGTTGGGTAAGGTTTTATTGAGTATTTTTACAACTATATTCATGAATGATATTGGTCTGAAATTTTACTTTTTAGTTGGGTCTTTTCCTGGTTTTGTTATTAGGATAATGTTTGCTTCATAGACCATGATGGGGAAGATTCCTTCCTCCTCAGTGTTCTGGAATAATTTCTGCAGTACAGTATAAGCTTGTCTTTGAAGGTTTGATATCATTCTGGTGTGAAGCTATCTAGACCAAAGCATTTTTTTGTTGGGAGATTTTTTATTGTTTCTTCAATCTCAGTTCTTGAAATAGTCTAGATCTTAGATCTCAGTCTAGATCTAGATCTCAGTCAAGAGATCTATTTCTTCTTGGTTAAGTCTAGGGAGAGGGTGCAATTCTAGGTATTGATCCATTTCCTCCATATTGTCAAATTTCAGGGGTTAGAGATTCTTGTGTTACTCAGAGATGATCTCTTGTATCTCTGTGGCATCTGTTGTTATTTACCCATTATCATTTCTGATTGAGGTTATTAGAGATTTTACTTTTCTTTTTCTAGTTAATCTGGCAAAAGGTATATTGATTTTATTTATTTTTTTCAAAAGGCCAACTTTTTGTTTTGTTAATTTCCTGAACAATTCTTTTATTTTCAATTTCATTAATCTCTGATTTAATTTTGGTTATTTCTTTTTTTCTGCTGCAGTGGTTCTCAACCTTCCTAATACAGTTCCTCATGTTGTGGTGACCCCCAACCATAAAATTATTTTCATTACTACTTCATAACTGTAATTTTGGTACTGTTATTAACTGTAATGTAAATATCTGATATGCAGGATGTATTTAGACGACATCTGTGAAAGGGTTGTTCGATCCCCAAAAAGGTCACAACCCACAGGTTGAGAACAACTGTTCTGTTGGGTTTGAGATTAGATTGTTCTTTTTCTAATTCTATAAGATCATTCATGAGTTTGTTCATGCGCTCTCTTTCTGTTTTTTGAATGTAAGAATCTAATATAATAAATTTCCATCTTAAGACTGCTTTTTCTATATCACAGGTTTTGGGAACTTGTATCTTCATTGTTGTGATATTGGAAGACCTTAACAATTTCTACTTTTGTCTCTTCCTGAATCAAACTTATCACTCTGCATCAGGTTGTTTAATTTCCAAGTATTTGCATTGGGGTGAAGGTTTTTGTTCAGTTTCATTTTTATTGCATTGTGGTCTAAAGGTATAATTTCAGAAGACACAAGGTATAATTTAATTCTTTCGATTTTGTTGAGTTTTGATTTGTATCCTAGGAAGTGGTCTATTTTGGAGTACATACCATGTACTGACACAATCATTTGCCTTATGTTCCTTAGCCTTGGGATGGTGTGTTCTGTGTTATGTCTATTAATCCCATATCCTCTAGGGTCACATTTAAGTCTTTGTTTAAGTCTGTATCTTTGTTTAGTTTCTGTTTAGAGGATCTGTCTAGTTCTGTCAGAGAAGTGTTAAACTTCCTGACTATTATGGTGTTATGGGGTATCACATTGCTCAGGCCCCTCAAGGTCTGTTTCATAAATCTGAGAGCATTTAAGTTGAGTCCACAAGTATTTAAAATTGAAATGTCTTTTTGTATTGTTCCCTTGACCAGTATGTAATGTCCATCCTTACTTTTCTTAACTTTAGTTGCTTTAAATCTGCTTGTATCTGAAAATAAAATTGCAACTCCTTCTTTTTTCTGATTTCCATTTGCTTGAAATGCTCTTCTCCATCCCTTAACTCTGAGTCTTGATTTATCATTCAAGGCTAGGTGGATTTCCTGGGGATAGCATGTGGATAGTTTTTGTTTTTTTATCCACTCAGCTGGCCTGCGCCTCTTCAGTAGGGAATTCAATCCATTGACATTATTAAGAGAATAGATATGTGGAGTGGAATTCTGTTTATCTTGTTTTGTGAAAGTCTGTTGTGTAGTTTTATCCTTTGTGCTATTGTGGAAGCTAAGTTTTGACAGTTAGCTTCTGAGTGTTTACTTTGGTGGTGGTCCATTGTCATGTTCAGTGTTGAGAATAGGTGTAAATATTTCCTGTAGACTGGTCTTTTTGTGGCAAATTTCCTCAGTGTTTGTATATCACAAAATATTTGATTTCTCCATAAATTTTGAAGCTTAGTTTAGTAGGATACAGAATTCTGGGCTGAAAATTATTTTGTTTAAGATTTTGAAGGTAAATGACCATGCTCTTCTGGCTTGGATGATTTCATTTGAAAAGTCTGCTGTCAATTTAATGGCTCTTTCCCTGTAGGTCATTTGGTGCTTACTCCTGGCTGCTTGCAGAATTTTCTCTTTTGTCTTAACTTTGGACAGGTTCATTACAATGTGTCTTGGGGAATCTCTGTTAGAGTTGAGATGACATCTCAAAGGAGTGTGTTAGGGTCTTTAGTAAAACTTGGGAAATTTTCATTTATGATAGTCTCTGGTAGGGCTTCCATTCATTTGGGACAATCTTCTTCAGGAATCCATATCATTCATATGTTTGGACCCTTCATGGAGTCTCATAGTTCTCTAAGCACCTGTTCTGCTTTCTCTCTCATCTTTTCTGCCTCTTTAACTACCTCACTTAACATGAAAACTTATTCTGTAGCTCTGAGGTCCTATCTTCTCCAGGGTTTAACCTCTTTTTGATACTTTCTACTGTAGCTTTATATTCTCTGTTTGCCTCCTTCATTTTCTTAATCTCCACCATGTCCTTTCTATATTCTACATATTTCTTGTCTGACTTTTGGTTCTGTCTTTCCATTTTCTCATTCATTCCTTTTATTGTCTTTGTCACCCATATTTAAAATTCTCTTTCTGTCTAGTTCATGAATTCTTTATAGGTGGAGTCTTTTGCAGTAGCTGCCTCATATTCCCTTGGGGGAGTTCCTCTGTTTTGGTTTTTCATGTTGCCTGGATTTTTCTGTTGGTTTTTCTTCATGTGTTCTTTATTCTTGTTCATCTCCTTGTCCTTTTTCCTTCTCACTGCTTCCTTTGTTTCAAACAGAAATCCTGGCTATTGATGACGATATGTTGCAGTATATCACTGGGACACCAGGTGGTGCTATGGTTTTTTAGAGACAGAGAGCATAGCCAGCAAACTCTATGATCCTTAGTTCTAAACTTTGAAACTTAGATACAAACTTAGTTGCCTTCTATGATTGCCTGATTTTTTTCCTTAGCATTCAGACCCTGCAGTGCTGGGATCTTAAAGTTCACAAAAATCCTTTCAGAGCAGGTCTCATAGTGCCCCCTGATACCAGTTTTCATTCTATGTGGGAGTCCCTCAGCCTGTCCCAAGAGTAGGGTTCTGATCCTGGCAGGCAGAATTAAGATGGCTGTGGTTTAGGCCTCTGCTAACACCTTCTGACAACCTTCCCACAATGGCAGCCCCATTGGTCACTGAGACCTTCTCAGTATGGGTGTCTTGCCAATCATCAGACCTGTGGCAAATCCACTCCTAACTGGCATTCAAACCTGGTTTCTGTCTATTGTTTGAGTCTGCCCACTCTTCTAAGCTTTCTACTCAACATGCAGCTTCCCCAACAGCTGAAAACTCCAAAGCGTCTTGCTCCCATCCTAGGCCTCTGTGGGGGTTGGGGGGAACCCATCCCAGCTGGTGGTATCGTAATCACTTGCCTAATTCATGATATTACCACTGCTGAGCTCTGGATCATATGCTGTATCCACTTCACCATCTCCTTACTGTACTCTCTGAGCTATGACTCTCAGTAAGGTCCCCACACCAGGTATGGCTGGATTGTCTCTTTTTCCCGGTCGTTCTAGGAGAGCTTAACTGAATCATCCTTCTGGTCCACCATCTTGCTCTGCTCCCCAGACAGAAGACTTTTTGTTGTCTCCTCACATGGTGGGGCCAGATCTGCTCTCCAGTGTCTCTTCTTATGAGGACATGAATCCCATTCATGAAGGTTCCACTCTCATGACTTGATTACCTTCCAAAGGTCTAATATCCACATAACATCACATTAGTGATTTGACATTAAATATAGGAATGTAACAGGAATAAAATCATTTAGGCCATAGCAGTAAGCAAATAGTTTTTGAAGACTCCAGCATTATACATGAGTCTCAGTTCCAATTCCCTACTTTTCATTGACCCAAGGAAATTCCTGCTACCTTCCTTTTATGGTACAAGCTCACAGTTGTAACTTTATTCTATAGGTATCCTTAAAGATGGCATATGTCCTCTCCTAATTAATATTTTAGTTTTTAAAATGACTTTCTTTGTTCTGGCACCAGAGAAGTTCCTTCTTTATATAAGTTTATTAATAGACTATTTTTGGATTTATTTATTTTTATTACAAATAATATGATGGTCCAAAATTTTAGGTTACATTGTTCTCACTTCCAAGGTAAAGTTCCAGTTGTAAAAGAGCCCCTGAATCATTTTAAAATGTTTCATTTGGTAGTTTAGAAAGGAAGGATTTTCATGTTAGTCTAATTCATTATTTTTGCTGAGTAGTTCACATATAAACTGTGTGAATCCTCTACTCACATACCATCAACCTTTATCGAGGAGTTACCCTTAGTGAGAAATTGACTTGTTCAAAGAGCCAACTTTTGGCACAACAAAGCATTTAGCTCTAACCTCAAGGAAATGCACCTAATTCAAAATTTGAAAACTCTACAATTAAGGAGGAAAATTGCTGGTGATAGCCTAGAGGAAAGGTGGTAGCTGTTTAATTTTTGAAATGTATCATTCATATAAAATAAAAATGCTAATTCTATGTAATTATTATAGTATGTATTATTTCCTTTTTAGGTGATAATTCTAAAGAGAAATAAAATTCATAAGATGGGATTATCTGAACTCAACTTTTGGGTAAGTTTCAATGTTTTCAACACAATTTCTTTAAATTCTATTTTTTTCTGTAAAGTGAATACAGATAATATGCTCTGAAACTCTAATTTATAGTTAATAAGTAGTTACTGCAATAGCTTGTAGCTAAGGTAGGAAACATGCCTTAGCAAAGGGTATAATTTTCAAGAAATTAGTTCACTTACTCAGCACTACTCTCAGGCCCTTTTTCCTTTACTTTTCATTCTACTACATCCATATAGTCTTGTTTTGTAAATTCCTGTCTTTTTATCTTCGTTTTCTCTCTTTTATCTTGTTTAACCTTCTCCTCAAAATAACTCAGTTCATAGTTATTCTCTAGCTTTCCCCTTTATTTCATCTGCACATATCCATCATTTTTTCCCCTCTCCTTCCAACTTTAGACTCTTACTATTTTTGTCCTTTTAATATTTTCCAACAATCTCCCAGCCCCTTCTCATTTCAACTGAGCATCAACCTAATCTTTGTTGGGCTTTTTCTCAAAGATGCAGAAAATAGGTCACATTACCTCTATCATTGTGTATTTTGTTTCCTATTAAAACAAGTTATTAGGTAGGCCCTGCAACTTCAAATTCTCTTGATTTTTAAATTTCAGACAAATGATATTCATTCTTTATCTATGGGTCTTTGATTAAAAAAAATAGCTTGCTATATTGAATAACTATATGTTGAATAGCTATATGTTTACATATTATATATTGAGAGGATAAACCTGAGAAAGTTGTGATAAAATCAGGAGGTAGATTTATGTTCAGAATACAAAAAAAAAAAAAAAATAGAATGAGTTACAAGAAACTTCTTGCTTGAGGCATTCTCCCATACTTGGTGATGAAATTACAGAAAGATTTATCCACTAAGTTGTTGGATGGCCTGACACTTCTAATATATAATTTTTTTACTTCAAAAAATTTGGACACTTTAGTAACTCAACTTCAAAAAAGGCAAATTTTCAATTATAAACTATTGAAAAATGACCATAAATAGAACAGTGTCCATGGACATTAGGAGAATTCTGACAAAGTATATGCAAATGAAAATTTATTATCTTAAATTCTGTTTTCTACATTTTTCAGTAGTAGACTAGAATGAATAAGATATAAATATGCTTTAAAGAATATCAAAGAAACAAAAAAGTCTAAAGAAGGAAAAAGTTGAGATTTAACCAATGTTCAGGATATATTTGTATTTTGAAACTGAAGATTTATGTCATAGAGACAAATCATGGTAGTCATATAAACAAACAAATAACCCCAAAGGTATTCTGGCTTTTTATATCTCTTTTTATAGAAAACAATAAAAAAGGAAAAAAATCTGTTTTACTATTCCAAATAATTCTTTCGTGCCTAATGGAATAAAAATTATATTCATATCTTACTCTGTCATAAAGTTTAAAAAAGAAATTCTTACCATTTTTAATTAAATGGCAGTAAAATAATGCAAAGAAAGATATCATTTATGATTAATCAAATCTAATTGTAATATTCCCTTTAGTGGAGAAGAATATTTAGGAACTAAGACCTAAGTAGTAGGTATACTCATTGCTACCAGTATGTCCTTGCTTCTAGCACCTTTCACCGTATATATATATGCATGCAAATGTGTATATATTTGAAATCATGATTTTATAGCCATTGCTTTGACCCTAGTCCAATGCTATAGAAGATAGGCTGTCTGGATATCCTAGAACTCAAAGAAAATAATAATAGGCTTCCATCTCCTGAAACTTGCATAATGGGTCCAGGAAAATACCCTCCATCTTGTGGGTCTCCATCTACTGTCCTCTGTCTGGGAGACTAACCATGTAAGTGGCTCCAGCAGGCATCCAGCAAGAGCCCTGCCCACACTAGTCAGGCCAGAAAAGAGCTCTCTTCCCAGCACACCCACCACCATCCCACAAGCCTTGCATCATTCACCTGTCACCTAGTAGCAACAGAACTTGGAAAGTGTGTTTTTCTCCTATGGGCAGTACAAGTGCTGAGATAGAGCACTAGGACACCAGGCGAATTAAGCTGTCAGAATAGCACTGAAAACTATATTGTTAGAATAACTATGACAAACAAAATTAGGCTAGCCCTTACCTACTAAGCTTAAATAATAGGACTGTATACCAAAGTGGAATATTAAAATATGATCTATGGTCTCCCACATAATATCCAAAATGTGCAGAACAGTAGAAAAACTATTTATCATCATGTGAACAAAGAAAAGAACAACTTGAATGAAAAAAGAGAATCAACAGATGTCAGTGAGATTAATAGGATATTAGGATTATTTGAGAAGGGTTTTAAAGCAGTCATCATAAAAATACTTCAGTGAGAAATTTTAAGTACTCTGAAAGCAAATGAAAAGATTATAAAATCTCACACAAAATAGAAATCTTAAAAAATGAAACAACTTGGATATCATAGAATTGAAAAATATAATAGCTGGAATAAAAACTCAGTAAATAGGCTTGATAGCAGAGTGAATATGACAGAGAAAGCAATCAGTGTAGTTGAAGACAGAACAATAGAAATTACCCTATCTAAATAGAAAATAGACTGGGGGGAAAAAAAGAAAGAGCCTTAGGGACCTGTGGGGCCATAAAAAAAATATTAAATATTGTTGTACTCCTGCAACCTGAAAGTATAGACTTGGACACCCCTTATGTGCAATTCAATTGGAAATTTATTGAAGCTGCGCAGGGGACTGTTGCCCTGAGACAGACAGTCCATCCCAGTAGAGGGCAAGTTGCCTTATATAATTTTTGTGCAAGCATACTACAGAAGCAAAAGGTGGCTGGTTGTAGGGGGGGTTACAGCTTGGGTAGTCATGGATACAGTAATGGTTTCAATTATGTAACAATGATTAATACAGCCTTGGTTGACTTGGTTGATAATGAATATATCTTAGAATCATAATGGTTATAGTTATGTAACCATGATTAATACAGCCTTGGTGGATTTCCACCATTGTGCATCCACTGAGAACTTGGGGGGCGGGTTTGTGAAACTTGGGACTTCTCGTGCTTTAACTCTGGGGGGCATGGGAACAGGCTGGGAGAGAGGGCGGGGAAACGGGCTGGGAGTGCTTGCAGCAATATCATCAACATTTCCAGGGGAATGGAAAAAGAGAGTGGGGCTAAAAAATAGTTGAAGAAGAAATAGCTAAAATTTAACAAATGTGGCAAAAGACATAAAACTTCAAGGTCAAGAAACTGAGCCATTCCCAAGTAGGACAAACACAACGAACCGATGCATTCATACATCATAATTTAACTTATGCAAACTGAAGATAATGAAAAAAAATCTGGAAAGCAGACAGAAAATAATGAAATAAATGAAGAAATTGAAAAACCCAACAAAATAGATACATATACTGTAAATATAAGAGACTGTTCTTCTTTTGTATATTTCCTTTCTTCTGCTCTTTTTGTTTTATTTTGTCTTGTTACTCTTTATGTAAATTTTTGTTAAGGACTTAATTCATTTATTTTTACTTCATTTTTATTAATGTAAGTTTTTGAGGCCATGAATTTTCTTTTGCTCATTGTTTTAAGTGTCTTCCTTAATTTCTAATATGGGAATCTAATTTGCCTGGTAAACTAGTGCCACCATGTTGTTTTTCACCTTCCTGAATCTCTTTTAGTTTCTCTCTACTATAGAGGATAGTTAGAGTTTTGCTTTGTTTGATAAGATGATTTGAAAATCTTTATTATAAATTTTATTTATATTTTATTATATCATGTTGTTTTTGCACATGATTCTCTTAGTTTTTATTATTTTTTACACTTAGGACACTTAATATTTCCTCAGTTACAGCATATTCAAAGTGTTCTTCTATAACCTTTATACTTGAATGACCAATTGGCTGGATGTAAAGTTCTTGGTTCTCACTTTCTTAAGTTTTTAAAAAATGCTTCTACAGTGTCATCTTGATTTGTATGTTTCTTTTTATAAGTCTGATGCTAGTCAAATTCTTTTGCTCTTGTAAATTACATGACTTTTATGCCTGAAGGTTCTGAGACATATTCCTTCATTTTTAATAGCTTTATTAGATAGAATATGTCATGAATTAGTTTATATCAGATTAATTTTTCTAGGACCTAATGGGTGCTTTCCAACTTTCCAGGTATATATTCATGTTTTCTTTTATTTCTGAAACATTTTCTTAGATCATAATTTAAGTAGTAGTTTTGATTCACTGCTTTGTTTTTGTCTTACAGGGACTCCATTTATAAGTATTTGCCTACCTGAAATTTCTACAGCTTTCTCTGATTCTTTTTACGTCCTTCTCTGATCTTAATTTTGTTCTTTGTGATTGTTTTACTGTCTTTACTTGAGTGTCACCATTAAATTTTTAGCTAAATCTCATCTCCTTTAATCATCATGATTTAGTTTTCATTTTTTTGAATATTCTCATTTTCTTCCATTTCTTTTCTGTGTTTAATAAACTTTTTCTTTCTTTGGTTTTTTTTTCATTTCTATTTTTAGGTTTTGAATTTCTCATTTAAGTTACTTTTTTATATCTCTGAATACTTTTTTGAGGATATTTAATTCAGCTTCTCATTCTGCATAATAGTTTTCTTCTGCTTTGTAAGATTTTATTGATCAGTTGTACAGATTTCATTACTTGCAGTATTTGACTCAATTTTTTTCTAATAGAATCTTTGTTTGAATATGTAGGCATCTTTAATCTGATTATTTTGAGGACAGGGTTGATGTTTTCTACTCCAAGTTTAGCTTCTTGTATCAATGAGCATATTTTTTCTTCAATGAATATTTTTTTCCTTTTTGTTTTGTTTTGTTTTGTTTTTGTGATGGCAGTAGTGATTGGTTGTCTTGATTTTGGAGGGGGGAGGGTATGGCTCCTGTTTGCCTTGACAGATACTGAATTTTCCCTTGTTGCTCTCCTTTTTTATTCTCTTTTCTTTCCAGAAGTGATACTTTCTTACATTAATACTTTTTATCCTGAACACTCTTGTGGTTTTCCACTTTGTACTTCATTCACCAATCTATAGGGGCTCTTTTCACACCGAATGTGGACTCTTATTTTTCTGAGATTATTTTAGATCACTTTTAGGCCCGTCACTTTCCTCTTCTTTCTTCTGTATAGTTTTATGGATTTCCATTTATTCTCTTCAAAGGCTTAGGATAAGAACTTAACATTAACCTCTACCACATTTGTTCTTTTCTATTTACAGATAATTGAAGTTTGTGCTGTTAGCTGTTTTCTGTATATGTGTTGTATTGTTCTGTATCTGTATTGTTCTATTTGTTGGTTGATCTGTGGATAGGGATGAATGGAGGCTGCTATTAGTATCCTCAGGCTACCCAGAAGTCCATGTTTCTTCCTTTTTTAATTAAGGATAGCCAAAAATAAACAATAATCAGGAGTCTCTTTGTCATTTTTAGTTCATGTTTCTCTTTTTAAAAGGAACACTTGCATTTTTTAATTTAATTTTTTTTTTCTTGAAGAGGAGGGGTTCAGACATGTCTATAATAAGAGTTGTAGACAAACGTTTTAATGTAATATTTGGGAAAATGGATTTTTACCTGAGAAATAATACTTGGAAGTAAACACATAGCTCTTTTTTCTTAAGAGAAATTGGTCCTGCATGGGGTCAGGGTCCACTAAGACCTGTGGAAACTGGCAGTGACCGAGTGAAGAAATATAGAGTTAGAAACAACAGTAAAGAAAGAGGCATGAGCCATAGAATAGAATTACAAGTGGGAGCTCAGGGGTCCATTGCTCATTTGTGGGATTTCAGCAATGGCACTGAATGTTTGCTCCACTCTGCTTTTCTTGAAGTCTATTTGCCCTGAGGGTAAGATGAGGGACAGAACAAAGATGCCAGCAGTTTCTCTGATTGAGCATATCAGCTTCTATTGTTATTATTATCATCCTTAAGGGTACCCTTGAAATCTGAGCCTTGTATTGGGAGAGCCTCCCTCTTGAGATCACACACAGGTTTCTAGGGAGGTGTTAAACTCCACTAGTAAAACACCACCCACATTAATCTCCTATGAAGAATTGGTGGGAGGGAGGAATTTTCCTCCCATCACCACCACAGAGGATCTTCTTCTTTGATAAGGGATATAAGCTCTTCTGCCCATATCTCAGGGCTCAAGCTACTCCTTTGATCTCTGCCCCAGGCAAATGCAAATCTCCACAATGAGTATCTGCTTTGCCTGTTTACTAGGCAGGAGACGACCCAGTTAATATCTTTCTAGGTCTTGTCATAGCCTCTTCTATGACCGTTTTCCCTCAGTGCTCAGAGACCCAGCAAGGGGTGTTTGTAAGCTGTGTCCCCAACAGGCTAGAATTTCTGAAAGAAAGGAAGCATGCTAGTAATGGCTAGCTTAAATGTAAGCTGACCTTTCTTTGTTCTGACTCACTCTGATTACTTTTTACACTTGATCTTAGCCAAAGGCTGAGAAGCAATCTCAGCTTATTTTTTAATTTTCCTTTTTTTCTGGGGGTGCTTTCCTTTGCCAACAATGAGGTCTTCATTCCCCATTCTCCCTGTAGAAAAGAAGTAACTTATAAAAACTTTCTTTAGATTCAGGATGTATAGAATTCTAGTCTCGTCATATATTTTATAGCAGTTTCAATTCTTTGTCTTTAAAATTTTGTTTCTATTATTCATGTGGGCATGTGATTTATTATGTATTGGTTTCATGTTAGTGTTGAGTATATTGTATATATATTTTTTCCATTCTACTTTAGTAAGAAGAAAATGTGTTTCGTCTCCATCTTTTCTAATTGCTCAAAAGTATTTTAGGGTATACATATTCTACAGTTTGGTAATTTATTCATGGATTGATGGGCATTTGAGTTGCTTCTGGTAGGAAGAGGAGGGCATCTCACCTACTTTGTGCAATGTAAGGGTGTTCAGCACACCCCCTAGGTGAAGGGCTCTTCTACAACTTGAACTTCATGTTAGTAGGAAGGATAATATAACCTAAAAATTTGTACTTCATAATAATTTGAAATAAAAATAAATAAATAAAAACTAAAAAAGTCTTCTAAAGGAACATTCCTGTTTTTAGACCTCACTGTACATCCCTCAGTAATATATTTCACATGATTAAAATTTTCCTATGTTTTATGGGTATAACTGAATGTTGTATCTTAGTAATGTGTAATTTTTAATACTGGACTTCTGTTTTATTTTCCAGCTAATTCAAGGTAGTGCTTGGTGGTGTGGAACAATCATTTTGAAATATCTGACATCTAAAATCTTAGGTGTTTCAGACCATGTAAGTACTTTGTTGTTAAAATATAAGAGTTTTATAAATATGTAGCTATATGAAAACATAGAAACCATCTATTCTTTTCATTTTGTAGATGGCAAGTGCCTTCTTTAAGATCCCTAAGCTGATTATTTCCAGAGTTAAAATAGAGTCCTATAGTTCAATGATCTTTGTGACTTGGCAAGAACAAAGTATATCATCAAATGCTTAATATTATAGGGAAAAATTTAGCAATTTGTTAAGTAGTTATTTGTTGATATTTCAGGTAAAATATACATAATCCATTTATTGCAGTTGTTAACATGAGCTTCCTATCCTGAGCTTTGAAATAAAGAACTCTTTCTAGACTTCAGTATAGTTTTATTTGTTTATAAATATGGACTAAAATTATGGTGTAATTTGATATTTTTAAGACCTTTATTATTCCATCTTTTCATTTTCTAGAAATTTATGTAGAACACTTAACTGTCATGTGATGTTTTCATTTGTTTTAAGGCTGTTATAAATAATGCCCTTTTCAAGGTATAATTCCGTACTTAACTAGCTAGTTTAAAGAATAGAAAATAGTGCATGAATTTACTTTTGATTTCTAGCACTTTCTGTTTAGAAATAAGCCTGCATTAGTGTATTATTCAATAGTCTACTGTGGAATTTACTTTATCTATTACCCTTATTAGGGCACTGTCAAATAATGAAACTATATTTAGTGCTCCCTCTCTAAAAGGTCAGGAGTTATCACTATTCAATAAATACATGTTTATGTCAAATATAATTTATAAATGTAAGCATTTGTTTCCCATTTATTGCTATCTTTGCATAGTAGTTCATTAGGTTTACTTGTTGCTTTTGTTCTCTGATGTGTCTGATACTTCTTTTTTT